GCATTAGGTGTACCATAACAAAGAAGATGTCTAGTAGGTAGATTTGTAACATATCTGCACTCTATAATATAGCCACTGGTATTCTTTGTTTGCACAATACAAAGTTCAAGTTCAGTTCTTGTATGTTAGCCACATCCTTTTCCATTTCCTCTCCATGTGCAATGCACAGCCTAGTGGATACTGATGTTCATATTTGAAGTTAATTCTTAAAGAGACCAAGTCTCAAGGCTTACTGGCAAAAAGTAGATAACCCTTTGATGTAATTACATGGTAAAACAAAAATAATTTTTTTTTCCTTTCAACAGTTGTAAACATTTAGGCTGGTAGTGGACTCCTAAATCAAATTGTAAACCAGAGTATAAAAAATGTTTTCTATACACCCTTAATACTACCTTGTAGTTATATGTCACACGACTGGGGGAACTAGAGGAGAACTCATGTGGGCTTGATCCCCAGCTGCACTGTGTGTGTCCATTGGCACACATAGTGTGGCTCAGCCCCACCACGCCCTCTGCTCTCTCCTCACAGGCATTATTGACAGCAGCAGGAGCCACTGCCTCCATGTTGTCAGGAGCGAGGAGCCAGACACACAAGGAGGTGCAATTAAAGGTAGGTTTATTATACAAAAACAAGACAGAGTCTATGCAAGTCCAACAGCAACAGCGGATGACTTGGTAGAACAGTAGCCAGGAAGGATGGTCGCCAGAGCCGGGGTCAGAAGCCAGGAAGGATGATCACCAGAGCCGGGGTCAGAAGCCAGGAAGGATGGTCGCCACAGCCGGGGTCAGAAGCCAGGAAGGATGATTGCCAGAGCTGGGGTCAGAAGCCAGGAAGGATGGTCGCCAGAGCCGAGGTCAGAAGCCAGGAAGGATGGTCGCCACAGCCGGGGTCAGAAGCCAGGAAGGATGATTGCCAGAGCTGGGGTCAGAAGCCAGGAAGGATGGTCGCCAGAGCCGAGGTCAGAAGCCAGGAAGGATGGTCGCCAGAGCCGGTGTCAGAAGCCAGGAAGGATGGTCACCAGAGCCGTGTCAGAAGCCAGGAAGGAGTCTTGCCTAAGCCGAGTCGGTATCCAGGAGAGCAATGAGAAACTAAACAGGAGCTTGCTGTGGTGCAACAGACAGGACATGAATGCAATGAACAGCTACAACCAGCAGACTTATATGTGATAAGCCGCCACCTCCTGGGGGAGGAGCCGCAGAGGGCTGAAAGCATAAAGGATCCCACAATGCTTTGCAGACACCTAAGATGGATGCCAGCACATGGAGCAGCACAAGCCCTGAGGAAAGGTAGGACCTTGACACATGTCCAGTGAGGAGGGAGAGAGAGGTGAGAGTCACTGCTCTCAGGCATAGCGCTGGTTCGAAATCGAACTAAGGGGGGCTAGGATGGGGGGGGGGAACTGAACATCTTAATGAAGAGAATGCATTAAGGTAAAAAAACCTTCTTTCTTTACAACCACTTTAATGTTTTGGACAGAGCAGGAAAGGTATATAACCCGTCAGGTTTTTATTGATGTGTGTGTAGCCATTTGGTTAATTTACCCAACTTTGTAAATGCATTGTGTTATATTGGGAGCCTGGTATCACCATTCAGCCATAGCTGCAGGAGCTCAGCAAACAAAGTCTCAGTTTGCAGACAGTCCTCACTTTTTCACAGCTGTGAACCACTCCACTCCACCTCACAACCAGGTTCTAACTCCTTCCTGCTCCTTTTCAAGCTTCCCTTGCAAGTGGGTTAACCCTTTCGGGACCAAAGACCCTGTAATCAGGGTTTGGAGGATCTTTCTCACCCTCTCCGAGCCTCCTAATTCCGTTTTCTAAATGACTTACCAGTCCTAACAGAATTACCAATCAATCCTCTCCTCTCCAGGCGGACTACCCCGGAACCTCTAATTCTGTATGGGTGAGAACCTCCGAGTACTAAAAAATGTCTCTTTTTGCCCTCCTTAAAGAGACCGCAACCCAAATAGTGGGGACACATACTTCCCTTCCAGGACATATTCCCAGCATCCTGTACAATTGATTGACCTTATTGAAGACTAATCCACCTTTTCATTGTCATAGCCTTACACTTGCAATATTCTCAGTGTTCCTCTAAAAGGTCTCATGTTTGCCAAGTCCATTAATAGAAAATATTGGCTATCCTACCAGCATGCATTGGACTGGAGATGGGCTAGGCCACCTCCCTCTTATGGCTGTCCTTGGCACATGTGCTGAGCTGGAGGCGGAAATTGTAATTATCTTCTATGGCAGGGCCCGTATTGATGGTTTATTAATAAATGTATTATGTATTTACACATTTGTTTGTGAATACCATTCAATTATCATTTAATGTGTGATAGATAAATAGTGCATGTGAGCACTGTCAGATTGTTTTTTATTCTATTATCTTTATAGAGGATTTACACAGCTGCTTTTTTGGGTGTTTTTGGGGTTGTTAACAGATTTATTGTCAGCTCAAGATTACTTGTTTACAGTTAACTAATGATTAACATGAATGTAATATTTCTCTTTTATTCCTGCAGCATGATCCGATACATTTTAATAGCTTTTCCCCATTTGAAGAAAAATATAATGCATTTACAAATATACCATTCTTTTCATGGCCTAAACACAGAGTCTTACAATCAATGAAATTTGTGAAATGTTCAATTGATTCTAAAAGCTGGCATCCTTCTCAGACTGACCTTTTTTATTTTTACTGCTGTGAGCCTGTGCTAAATTTAGAAATTAGGCTATGATGTAATTCCTGCAGAATAAAAAGCAAACTGAATTTCCCTACTTTGCCAGAAGAGGGCCAATGCACTGATGTCTTAATGAAAAATGTGAAACAGATCAATATTAAAAATGTCTATAGTATCTTATATTACACAAATAAAACCTCTATCACTGATAAAAATATTTATTTTACAGAACATGTGTAATAGTAATTCATGTACCTTGGAATTTATGAATAAAATCTTACATTTTGTAACTCCTTTGGACATCTAACCTTTTGAAGAAGTGATTCTAATTGTTTAAAGCAGAAGTAAACCCACTGATTTAACAGTTTCAGACAACAATTACATTTCTGGCACATGCCGAAATGCAGCTGTCACATTTGCTCATGCTCTCACCAAAACTGTCAAACCATCAAATGGCTGGTGTTACAACTGATCACATATGCAGCATCATGGCAGTTGAAGATCAAAGAGGCTAAGATTGCAGTTTCCTTGGCTGAAAATGATAGGAGGGTTTAGTTCCAATTCAAACCTTGAGCCATCATCTCTCTAGTAACCTTATGCAAACAAATTATGGGCAAATGATACGCTGACTGTATGCCTCTGATCAAACCCTGTCCATTTGATGCCAACATCTACTATACTCCTGTTGGGTGCCACTGCATTCGACCCTTAGGGCCTTGGTGCTGGAGACCCTCCTCTGTTTGGGTTGGTGGTGGATTAGAGCTTGACTCCAATTGCATGTCCCTTGAAGTCCTACTGAAGAAGTGGGTCTATCCTGTGAAATGCATAGAGGCAAAAAGAAAGGTGTATGAAGACCCTTTATACACTGTACATTGAGAGAACCCATGCTGTATGTAATATTGGTAATTTTGAGGGGAGTTCAGAACAATAAATAGGGATTCTGTATTGGATCAAACTCCTAACTGTCCTCCTTGTGTAGATTTTGTAATGCAATTATATAGAATGTTGGTGGTTGACATACTGTTTCCCTCTGTATGCTGGAAATTCATGTATCTTACCGGAAAGCAAGCTTGTCAAAATGGACAGCATTTACAGAAAGCAGGACTTTTACTTTTCATATAAGCAAAAAAGTTTTGTTATAGAATAAAAATTGCAGGGAAAGTGCACAACAACATTACATTCTGAACACTCTGAAATCACAATCTCCCTAATACAAGCAACTAAATCTAAAGCAATTGGAAAATGACCTTGATTGCATACAGGTATACAAAAGGTGTTCATTTTGACTAATAAGACCAGTGTTGCATCTGCAGGTCAGGAGAAAAGCTATCAGATTTTTGTGCATTGGTACAGCTGCCATGCTACAGTCCACAGGATTTTCCCATCTGTATTGAGACTTTTCTGGAGATGTGGAAGTGAACTGGGAACTACGTGATGCACCTTTCCTCTTAAACACTGTTATGAACACATATATCTCCTGCTATTGCTTTACTCTCAATACTCCTAGGCTCTATCTCAGTTGCCAGAAGGGCCTATTATGCCTTTTTCTTTTGGCCACCAGGAATGTATTTCCAAGGCACTGGAAGACAACTCTAAGCTGGTCCATTTGCAATGGTGAACTGATGGCAAAATATCATAGAGGGTAATCTACTTATATTGCCTATTCAACTATCTGGAATGTTTTCATGGATTCCCAAGCTTTCAAGTCCTTATCCCCTGAATGATCTTATTGTGGATAATAGCAGGGGGTCTGCTCTCCTGGTCCAGTTACCCACCCCTACATTCTATGTCTGATTTTCTCTCCTTGTCTCCTCTTTTATTTCTTATCTCTTCCTTACTTCTCTTTCCATGGCATTGTTACAAATGCCTTAAAATAGGCTTAGAACGTGGACTTGTTTTGTGATATTTTTTTCTCATTTGGGGGAAGGTCAACGTCAAGAAACCTGTCAGATTCCTGTATGCAGAGCCTGCGATGATGAGGGTGGCCTCTTGCACAGTTCCCATCTGAGCATAGTGAGACAGGGACTACAGGGTTTTAAGAAATGCACAAATGCCAAGGTGTAGCCACTGTGAGCATAAACTTGAGACCACTGGTATCTGATGAGCAGAGGTACAGCTGGAGATGCACGGTGGTAGCACCAAATTCAGTACATGGTATACACCAGGATGTACAGGGAATCAAAGTCAGAAACAGGCAGAGGTCAGCTGCAGCTGGGCAGCGAGGTACAGAGTCACTAGGCAGAAGCGGGGTCAATAGTCCAGGCCAGGGTCGATAGCAGAGGTTGACAGCAAACGCGAGCAGGTAAGGATAATCCAAGACCAGGGGCGGACTGACCATTTGGAAACTCGGGCACTGCCCGAGGGCCCAGGGACAGTAGGGGGCCCCATGAGATGCCCCTGGTACCTTTTTCATAGGCTTTTTTGAGATTGGGCAAGGACACAGGAGCCCCATGATCCCCTATTGCCCGGGGGCCCCATGAGTTGTCAGTCTGCCCCTGTCCAAGACTCTGTGATGTAACACCCAAAAGACCAACCTACTGAGGTAAAAATATTGATTCCCCACTGCATACATTTTTTCCTCTATGCCATATACGTAAAGACACTATGAAGCAAGGAATGATTTTCTATAATTTGCAAAGCCAACAATTTTTTATTGTAACAGTAACCAAAATGTCATCTTTGTTTCACAAAGTGAAGTTGCACACTTTCTCTTATTAATTAAGTTACCAACTGCCCACCATTCCTCACCTTTCATTTTATTTTTTTTAACTCATAGTAAGTTCTGTCACAGAAGATCAATCAGCAAGCTTAGAATTACATTTTTTGATCATTGTTTTTAAAGAATCCTCCATGACAACACAGATTTCTCTATAATGTGTTAAATATATATTAAAGACATACGGTATTTGGATCTGCTCCATGTTTTTTTTAGAATACAAGGACAAGGCAGGCCCTTTTAAACTTTCTTCTGCTTTTCAAAACGAATGGGCAGAAGCAATACCCTCATTATTGATGTCATAAAGGATTGTTAGAAAATATATTGCCAGTAAAATTAATTGCCAGTTTTCTTTAAAATTACGTCTGAGAATAGGATAATTTACGAATAATAAATACTCAAGACAAAGAAACACCTGCAGACTAGAAAACAAAAGTCTGGAAGAATTAAAGCTTTTCACCTGAAATGGTGGGTGTTTTTTTTGTTTTTGAGTCAATGGGGGAGCCGGCAATACTTCCTGAAGATCAAGCTTTTTGTAAATGTGATATTGAACTGTTCTACTGCTCAAGGAATATAAAGTTTCTCATTGCAATGGATTATAAGTCATCTGAAACCATTCATGTGTAGCACCAGCTGAAAGACTGAGTGGATAAGTGATGATGTCTCAGCTCTGCCAAAAAGAAAATCAGATAATGGCTGGCTGAAACCTACAGTACTTGACATATGCTTCAAAAGGAAATAAATAATTACATTATTGTACAGCAAACAAAAAGACAAAAAGGCCAACACATTTTATATGTGTCTGTTTGTATCATTCTTGTCTTTGCAAAATTTTACATAGTACTCAAGGAATGGTATTAGGGAGGTTTGGATGATGTTATTGGCATATAAAAAGTTCACAATTTCTCTCCAGAGGAACCATGCGAACATTTGTGTGAAGGGGTGGGGTGGTGCTTTGGTTCCACTGCATGACAATATGATTTACATTGGATTTTTTTTCAAGCTTGATTATATTATTATGTATAATACAGATAATATGTCTTGCCTTTATTTATGCTTTTATATTGAAAAGTATGTTGGCATTAATACACATTATGTACAGGCCTACAGAACAATATTCACACTGACCCACACTGAAAGGAAATACAACTGCATATGTGAAGTACGCATGCTCATAAATCCCCATGTGTATATGTATGGGAAACTGTTACCCTGTGCGCTAATGTACCATGCTTTTTATAGGCCTCGGAAGGGTTAGAATTTTTGTAAGCATTTTACTACAGTTTGTGGTCCTTCTTAAGAGATTTGTTCTCACTTCCTGTCTATTTGATATGTGTCACACAGAACAGGAAGTGTGCAGAAATCTTATCACACTTATTTTATCAAAACTTTAAATGTTAAGTGGTGTTGAGCTCAAGCAAATGTTGGACTTTTATTTTTAATGCTGTTTCTCCTGACAAAGATCAGCGTTATAAACTCACCTAAGCTGTGTGTTTTTTTTTTTTAAATCAGTTTAGGCAAGTTTAGCAGAGTTTAACAGTGTTTGGAGTTTAAGTGTTTATTTATTTCATTGGCCAGAGTTTTAATTTATTCTGGCCATTGAAATTAATAAACACTGAAGTGATAAACTGCCTAGGCATTTTTGTGTCAAAACAATCCTCTGCAATTTCTTTGCGTTCAGGATAGCAGAATTTTACTGCCTCTAAACTCTAGTAAAATCCTTTGTGTGTATGGAAACAGAGGGGGTTATTTACTAAAACTGTAGAGTGCAAAATCTAGTGCAGCTCTGCATAGAAACCATTTAGTTTCCAGGTTTTATTGTCAAAGCTTCATTGAACAAGCTAAAGTTAGAAGCTGATTGGCTACCATGCAGGGACGGACTGACCATTTGGAAAATCGGGCACAGCCCGAGGGCCGGGGTCAGTAGGGGGCACCATGAGATGCCCCTGGTACCTTTTTCATAGGCTTTTTTGAGTTTGAGCAAGGGCACAGGGGCCCCCATGATCCCCTATTGCCCGGGGGCCCCATGAGTTGTCAGTCCGCACCTGCTACCATGTACAGCTCTACCAGATTCTGAGTGCACCAGTGTTAGTAAATCTTCTCCATAGGCTTTTGTTGAGTTGAGGTCAGGACCTTAGGCAAAAAAAACGCCAAAACTATGGGTGCCATCTTGGGTGGTTTAGGACTCAGTGTTCATCAGCATTGGCAAGGTGCACATCTGTTTGCTTAAGAGCATGTCACCCAATGGGTTTACCTGGGAAATTATGGGCTAATATTATTTCCTATACCACTTTTGGCAAAAGGGAAGTAAATCTTAAAACAGAACATTGATTTATAGGCATTTTCCAGCACGTTGTCTGACTACTGTTTAGGGCTTTAACCCTCCCCTCCCCTCCTCCCCCATGCGCATGCTCCCACCATGTATTCCGGGCTCTGCTTGCCCATGTGCGGGCCCTGTAGGTCTCATTAAGGAGAACTTGTCACCTAAAAATCATCACATAAGGGACTTTTTGTCCCCTATGTGATGAAAAGCAAAAAAACAAAAAAAGTTAAGTAAAAAGAATTTTTTTTTTTACAAAAAATAAAACTACAGCCAAGCACATAACACCCCCCCCAAAATATTTTGAGGCACCCCTCCCCCACATCTGAACGTAAACGCACATGTCGGGGATGTAAAAACATTGATTGTGATACACAAGTTAAATATCGCTGTGCACGCCAAAGAGAGAGCAATAATTCTATCACAAGACCTCCGTAATCACTGCCCACAGAAAATATAGGGTACTGAAGTTTGTCACTATTTCACGGGTGGACTCAGATTTAAGGTTTGACTTGTTGGGTATCTATTTCCGCGGTACAACCTCGTCTTTTATATGTTACCAAAAATTTGGCTGATTTATTGCGTTTGTTTGCCCTAAAATTCAGTGTGTTTTTTTACAAAAATTTAGCATTTCCTAGACCTTTGTGGTAATATTGTGTGACATAAAAAATTTAAACTACCACTATTTTATTCTCAAGGGTGTCTGCTTTTAGAAAATATGTAATGTTTGTGGGTTTTTTGTAATCTTCAGCCCTAAAATTATTTTTTATGGTTATGGTTAGGCAGGATTTCCACTTTAGGAACAAATGAAAGAAAATACCAACCACATAGGGAGTGCATTGTTTCCAAATGGGTCAGGGAACGAAAACATTTCCAGTTTGATAAACATGGCAGAATGAGGCATGCATAAGGTGCTTTGACTGGGGAAGAAGGTTTAAGTGGGTGGGAGGAGGGTGGAATGAGGGAAAGGTAGGTGGGAGTTGCTGTAACCTGGGGGGATTAGGTGGGTGATAGGAAGGCGCAGTGCTTAGGAAGAGATGGAGGGAGCTGCAGTAGCTGGATGAGAGAAGGTGAGGTGGTATGAGGGGTAAGTGAGGCAGTATGGAGGGTAAGTGAGGTTGCATGAGTGGAGGTGAGATGGTATGAGGGGTAGGTGAGGCGGTATCGGGGGTAGTAACCATACACAATACAATCTGATTGTTCAAAATCCTTTAGATCTACTATTACCTGTAGTGCAAGATGTCCTCACACTATGCAATTTCCTTTAGAATTATCAAATCTATGGAATAGGAGGACCCACCTGAACAATCTATTCCATTTGTATCAAATCACACAGCCCCTTAGGTCCGCCTTCGGCCGATAAACGAAAAATCGGTCGTTGCCGATGCTGCCACCAATGTCTCAGAAAAACGTCTGTTTTTCGTGGATTTTCCAGCATGACCGATAAAAATACAAAAATAAAAAAAACAAGAAGATCTGCAAAAAACGGCTGACGGCATTGCCTCACTAACAGCATGAATATCGGCCGATTTTTCGTGCAGACGAAAATTCGCCCGATAACGACCTGTCTATGGCCTGCATTACACTACATAGCTGATGGTAGATCTAAAGGAGATTGTACAATCAGATTGTATAATGTATGGCCACCTTGAAGGAAGAAGTAGGAAAGTGGGTGGACACAAACCAAGAGGGGGTATAGTAATGAGGGAGGTGTGGTCCTGAGTGGTAATACACACCCTATTCCGTGATTCACTAAGGCAGTGCATAATGGGATATGAAGCTTCCTGGAATGTCACATGATTTACCGAAAGTGATGGATGCAGAAAGCATTTTTTTAAATTTTAAATAGAAATGTGAAAATTCAAAGCTGCCATGGACGAGGTAAGTGAGAGATAAGCACACTGGGGCAGAAAAGACATTAGAAAAGGCTTCTATTTATTATGAAAAGTGAAATTCTGCCTGGAAAGGTGAACTTATCCTTTAAATTAAAGGTGTAATGAAGGTAATATAAGAGGTGCCACTGCTGGTCGTATCCTAAAAATACTAGGTGCTATACTGGAACAAGTATGCAGTTCAGGAAATTCAGGAAAAAGTCAGAAATAATTATATGCACTTTTTTTCTTTTTAATCAATGACAGCATTGAAGCCAAATGCATAGCATGACATTTAGGCAACTTAAAGTGTTACTAAATCCAGGACCATGCATTCACTATATCTGTTTTTTTTACAGTACACAGAACATGTTAAAAAATATAAACTGCCAAATATGTCAGCAGTATATAACAGTCTTGTGACTTCTATCAGTGTTCAGCAGAGCACTGGTTAATCTTTTAGGAGTTTTCCTTCTCCTCTGACAGTCCTATGAGACTGCATGACCCCTGACCCTCTTTCCAGACAACTGATTGGCCCTGTGCCAATCACATGCACCCTCCCCCACCTAAAAAAAGCATTCTCTAGCAATGCACACCAAACAGACTATGTGCAGACTTGCCACTGCTGCTCTGTACTATGGCAGATGGATTGGGGACAGGAAAAGTAGGGGAGGATCAGAGAAGACAGGATCAAACAGCCATTTTACAAAATGCGGAGGATTAACCCCTTAGGTTCCACAGGGAGTATAACAAGCATGCTTTACTGCATATACAGACTGAATTTACTGTTGTGTGTTTAGGAACACTTTAAATGGCACCCTGCTTTGTTCATTGCTGGATAAAAACATTGTTTTGGGTTACAAAACCACTGTAATAGAAAATAATTAAATATATATTAAATGTATTTAAGCATTCATGACTAATTTGCAATATTCATATGAAAAAATATGATTCCCAAAATGACAAGTGATAAATACTTAAAAATAATGCTGGGAATAATGAAAGGAAAAACAGCTCAAGGATATTTCCTGTTCGTGTAACAGCTGGCTCTAGAAACGGTAAAATTAGTCAACTAATAAGTGACAAAGCGTCAGCAGGAGGCTGAAAATAGTGCAGAGAACTTGGATGTTGTTCTTGTGACTCATAAGAACCACCTCTTCTTTCTTTGGGAAGAAATGTACTTTCCCTAGGTCCTTTGTATAAGGACATCACAGAAGGCAAGGCAGATTTTATTGCTTATTTATGTAGCACTGGAATACCACTCTGCTGTTTTCAAGAATTTCTTTTGGGCACATCGGTCTCTGCTCAACGGTCCCATGGGAAGAAACAAGATCACTCTTGGATGCGTGGGAAAACATAACAGTTGGCTTTTCACTGAACACTTGGGGCTGGGCAGTGCATTTTCTAGTGATAGACCATAGACTGGACTAGAGTCCGTGGACATCAAGCTTTCCAGTGGGAACAGGCCTAGGCGTAAACTACTGGGAAGAAGAGATTAGAAAATATTATTTATTTATTTATTTCAGGTACTTATATAGCGTCGTCAATTTATGCAGCACTTTATTTATTTCAGGTACTTATATAGCGTCGTCAATTTACGCAGCGCTTTACATATACAGTTGCAAGAAAAGGTATGTGAACCCCTTGGGATTACGTGGAGTTTTGCATGAATTGGGCATAAAATGTGCTCTGAACGTCATCTAAGTCACAACAATAGAACACAGTCTGCTGAACATAATAATACACAAACATTAGATGTTGCCATGGTTTAATTGCACATAACATGTAAACATTCACAGTGCAGGGAGGAAAAAGTATGTGAACCTTTGGACTTAATGACTGGTTGACCCTCCTTTGGCAGCAATAACCTCAACCAAACGTTTCCTGTAGTTGCAGATCAGACCTGCACAACGATATGGAGTAATTTTGGACCACTCCTCTTTACAAAAACTGTTTCAGTGTAGCAATATTCTTGGGATGTCTGGTGTGAATCGCACTCTTAAGGTCATGCCACAGCATTTCAATCGGGTTGAGGTCAGGACTCTGACTGGGCCACTCCAGAAGGCATATTCTGTGCTGTTGCAGCTATTGTTTTGTTGAATTACTTGTATGCTTTGGGTCATTGTCCTGTTGCATCACCCATCCTCTGCGGAGCTTTAGTTGGCGGACAGATGGTTGTACGTTTTCCTGCAAAATGTCTTGATAAACTCTGGAATTCATTTTCCCATCAATGACAACAGGCCCTGAGGCAGCAAAGCAGCCCCAAACCATGATGCTCCCTCCGCCATGTTTTACAGTGGGGATGAGGTTTTGATGTTGGTGTGCTGTGCCTTTTTTTCTCCACACATAGTGTTGTGTGTTCTTCCCAAACAACTCAATCTTGGTTTCATCTGTCCACAGTATATTTTGCCAGTAGTGCTGTGGAACATCCAGGTGCTCTTTTGCAAACTTCAAACGTGCTGCAATATTCTTTTTGGACAGCAATGGCTTCCTCCGTGGTGTCCTCCCATGTACTCCATTCTTGTTTAATGTTTTCCTTATTGTAGATGTGTCAACAAAAATGTTAGCATGTGCCAGAGATTTCTGTAGGTCTTTAGCTGACACTCTGGGATTCTTCTTTACCTCATGCAGCATTCTGCGCTGTGCTCTTGCAGTCATTTTTACAGGACGACCACACCTAGGGAGAGTAGCAACAGTGCTAAACTTTCTCCATTTGTAGACAGTCTGTCTTACCGTGGACACATGAACATCAAGGCTTTTGGAGATACTTTTGTAACCCTTTCCAGCTTCATGCAAGTCAACAATTCTTGATCGTAGGTCTTCTGAGAGCTCTTTTCTGCGAGGCATGGTTCACATCAGACAGTGCTTCTTGAAACCAGTAAACCCAAAACAGGTGTGTGTTTTTTTTTAAGGGCAGTACAGCTG